ACATCCATACATACATCCATCCATCCATCCATCCATACATCCATACATACATACATCCATACATACATCCATCCATCCATCCATCCATACATCCATACATACATACATCCATGCTGTTGCAGCACATTGAGATTTTTCAGCAAACAGCTCTTTGTGAATCACCTGTTTCATAAACTGTCATTTTGTTCACGTTTACTTGGACTGTGTTAAACAACTGAACACAAGTTATGTATCTTCTTTGTAACAAGTTGTAAAAAAAAGATGCCTAAAGACACAATTTGAAATTGTTTTTGAGTTCTTTTTGTGTTGCCACATAGTTGCTTCACCCTATAAGTAACTAAGTGATGAAGTAACTGAGTGAAGTTATTAAGCAAACTCATTAAGGTCAAGAAGGGGAGTGAAGATGAAAAGCAGTTTATGTTCAAAGAAGAACATGTAAAGCCTCAATAAATATCACCCAAGTGCACTTTAAAGGCTTGGAAGGAAACAAATGAACAGAATGAATAAGTAGCATAAATAATTTTAAATACTTTTAAAGTTAATATAAATAAAAAAATAAGTAAATAAGTAATTAAATTCAATTCAATTTGACCCCCAGAAGAGTTTCAGGATCAAAAAGAGGAAACAGCGACACYGAGTGGTCAAACTGAGGTAAGACAAGTAAAAAAATAAACTAGATAAAAGAGATTATTATGTTTGACTAAAGAGAAATGAGTGGAGAGAAAAAAAAWCTAGGGTAAACATCTTAACTGCTAAATAAGAAAATTAAAAATAATTAAAGCAGTTTGAGTCCCCACCCTCCAAGTCATGAAACACTTAAAACAAAATAGAGAATAGGCTAGTCTTTTATTTGTCTCTTAGTAGAAACTGTAACAGCAGGAACAATAAATAAATAAATAAATAAATAAATAAATAAATAAATAAATAAATAAATAAACGGACCCTTCATTTGGTTTAAATTTAAAGCTACAAGTTCTCAGCTCCTGATAACAGCTGATTAAATCACAGACACACACACACGCCCTGCATTAAAGTTTAAACACAGCCCTGTTCGACCCGCAGCCTTTAGTCATGAGTTTTAAACCGGTTCTCTGTGACACAGCAGAGCAAAACCTTAAATCCTTTCCGCTTTAATCCGCCCAGACTTGTGAATGAAAAGCAGGGCTGTGTTCGGTTTGTTGCACTCTCGCTGCAGAGAAGAGGTGAAGGCGGGAGCTTTGACAGAGGCGGAGTATTAAACTCCCCACACCGGGCTTCTCCGGTCTGCTAAAACGAACGCACCCAGCGGGAGCCAATGGGGGAAGATGAACAAACAGGTAGGCGTTCTGTAACAGTCGAGTTGATGCTTCTGTTTTGTTTTGTTTTTTCCCCTCTGAAAGCGAGCAGAAAGCACGCTGACAGTGAGAGCTGGACCCAAACTTCTCCTGGTGGAGGCGTTTTTCAAAACCTCTGAAAGAATTTGAGGCAGGAGAGAAGAGGAGCTACAAGGAGCTGCTGTGACATTCTTCATAAATCAGCTCCAGTTAAAAAGCTGATGGTAAGCTTGACTTTTACCTCCTGTTTTTATTTTTTAACATTTGTCCTAAATGTGCTGCAGCTTGGTGTCACATCAGGGTTCATCCCTGCCCCACCAACAAACATCACCATCATGTGCTTTCAATGCTTGCTCAATCCAACAAGAAGTGTGGCAATGAAATATCTTGTGTGTGACTCACAGCAGTAACACCTCCATCAGATTCTCCTTATGTAAGTTCCTGCTCTGGTTTAGACTCCACACCCACCGTTCTTGTAAACGTAAAAGAGGAATATTACGATTGTTGATGGATTTCTGTCTTTCCCATTTGTGTCGACGCAGCATCTGCTTTGTCCTCCTCACTGAAGAGGGAGCGCAATAATAAACCAAAGAACAGAAAAGGAGGACAGGTTTGGTGACCTCTCCCCCACTGAGAGGTCAGGACTCTCGCCGACCCCGATATCTCCTCCAGGAGGGCATGGATGTGCTCCGGAGATCCTCTGCGTTCGCCTCGGAGGTCCTGGAGGTGTTTGACCGATCGCTGACGGAGAGAGAGCTGGTGTCTCAGTCCAAAGCTCTGTGCAGGGACTACATCCTGTCCAGGCTCCAGCAGAACGGGCTGGGGTGGTCCAAGACCGAAGTCAACTTCTCTGCCTCCACCAATGCAGCGCTGGCTGACGTGTCTCTGGTGCTTATCTGTCTTGGTAAGAAGGCCTGGTTTGTTCTTTTTACCCTGAACATGACTTTATGTGTTTTTTTATGCAAGGACAGAACAATCTTGTCCCTTTAATTAAGACAAAATATCAAAAAAAAAATGTACACAACTCCAACAAAGACGACTCAAAACAAACAAAGCAACGTTCGATTTAAGTGCTAGAGTTTTGTCATTTTTAAAAGACACAAAGGTTTAAACTGCTGCACCTGCATGTTTCGCCTCCTCTTCCTCACTGACTGTTTTTCCTTCTCGCCTCTGCCGCCTCCTGTTTCCTCCTGTTTCCAAGGCGATGAGTTGGAGTGTATGCAGCCCGGCCTGTACAGGAACGTGGCGCGGCAGCTCAGCATCTCCGTCTCCATGGAGAACATGGTGTCAGATGCCTTTCTCGGCGTGGCAACAGAGATCTTCTCAGCAGGTACAGGGCCGAAGATGATGATGATGATGATGATGAACATGTTACAAGGCGAGGGAAGCCTGCCAACGCAGGAAGTGACTTGCACTTGTGATCACAGATGGAGGCCGTTTGCTTTAAAGGGGCAATATTATGTGTTTCTCAGGCATATATTTAAATACTATACCATAATAAAGTATCTATGTCACATTATTAAAATGCTGTTTTTATGTTTAAATAGAAAAATAAACTTATCTTCTCATCACTTCCTCTTCTAAACGCCTTGAAATTGGCCTCTGTCTCTTTAAGAACCACCTTCCGCTTCTGTCCCGCACATTTCAGTTGGGGGGTGGGTGGGTTGTTTCGCCTGTGCGCTATGATGCAGTTTACTTGGCATCTGAAAATTTCCTCAAAGGTATTTTGAATCTGAAAAGAGCTTCACTAAGAGAAAAGTAGTGGATCTCAGCAGACAGTTAAGTTTCACTTTCACTTGTTTGCTTTGTTACTGCCGAGAGC